CTAAAATCTTGTTTACCTAAAATCTCCTAATTAAAATAAATTAGGACACAATATTAAGATTACATTACCCAAAAAAAGTCTTACATAATCATAGTCGAAGAAAAGAAAAAAACATCGACAAAAAAAACAACAAGAAGTCACTCTTCCATAAGTAAATGACACACCATTTCCTCCATAAGACAAGTACATAAATTGGCTCGATGTTTTGGGTCAGCTATCTTCTTCTTGTTGTGTTAGCATTTCGGTGATTGCTTGGCTATAACAAAAAAAAAATTCAATGGTAAAAATGACGATGTTAGATATTGTTAATGCACAAACATAGAATGCAAAAGAGACCCAAGATCAATAAACTTCAATTATGCAATCCTGCCATAAGTTACCACATCTATAAAAGTAGGTCTGGCATTCGGTTAACCGTTCGGTTTCGGTTCGGTTGCGTTCGGTTTCGGTTAGTTCGGATATGGTAATATAATAACCATTCGGATATTTTAGGAATTTCGGTTCGGTTCGGTTCGGTTACCTTTCGGTTCGGTTCGGTTTGGATATTTAAATAGATAACCATAACTAACCAAAATTTTATCACGTTCGGTTTGGTTCGAGTTTTTACCCAAAATAACCAAAATTGACCGAATATAACCGAAACTAACCGAAATTAACCGAAAAAAATACAAAAAGAAAATACAAAAAAAAAGAAAATTATTAGAAAGAATATTAAAATTGGATTCATTTTTGTCAAAGAATATTTAAATTTGACAAATATAACAAACAACATTTGGATATTTTGATTATTTAAAGTATGTTTTGATTCTAAAAATAATTAATATTTTGAGTATATAATTCTAATTTTGTGTATTATTATTGGGTATCTTATAGAGTTTTTGGATATTTCGGTTAACCGTTTGGTTATCGGTTCGGTTCGGTTCGGTTTCAATTATTTTGGATAAGGGATTTGACTAACCATTTGGTTATTTTGAAAACTTCGGTTCGGATATGGTTCGGTTTTTTTCGGTTCGGTTCGGTCGGTTATTTGGTTAGCGTTTTTTGTTGCCCAAGCCTATATAAAACCTTAAGAACTAATGCACGGTTATGTACTAAATTGAAAATGAAATGCATCAATAAAAGCCATAATAACAACAATTGAGTACCTCTCACCAAAAAAATAACTTCTTACCACTTAAGCACAAAGATTACAGAAAATTGCAGTCATCTCATTTGCTTCTTCTTTTTCTCATACTCTTATCTAATCTTCTTATTCTCTGCTTCAAAGAGCTGATGTTGAATTCCTATTAATTTTTAAAATCAAAACAATTTTCCCATAGTCAAAACAAAACTAGAAACTAATCAAGACAAAAAGAAGCTAACAATTCTAGATTTTTGGAAACTGATAAATAGAAAAAGAACACATACTTAAATCTAAGCAAAGAGAATAAGACGAAGAGTACTGAAGACGAAGAGAGGAAGCGAGGATTGGAGTTGACCGCCATTGGAGGAGAAGCTAAGCTCTTGTTCGTCACAGATCGAAGAAAGAGAGGGAGATCTGAGATCAGTGAGAGAGAAATGGGAAGATTAAATGGTGGAGGAGTAGATCGAAGATAAAAGGAGGCTGAGACTGAAGGGTAATGACGTAATCGACGCGAATTGAGGCCGGCGACGAGCTTCACGGTGGAGTCGGAGTCGAAAAGGAACATACCTAGCTTTTGTACTTTTGGCGGTTAGGACCCGTTCCTAGCATCCTAACCCACTGGGTTGTAACACCTCCCCTCCCGATTAGATGTTTTCCGAACCTCCGAGCAAGGATCAATTCAATCCGGTTTGGTGGAATCGCCATTTTTTTCTTCGGTGGTGAATCGCCTTATTACTCTCAACGACCTTTAACGGAGGCGGCGGTGGAGGAGGAGTAATGGAAGAATCTTGTGATTGTGAGTCGACGAAGATAGAAGCAGAGATCAAGAAGAAGACGAAAGAGATAAGAAAAAGTCTCAAACTTTGTAATGGCGTTTCCATTTCGCGAAATTACAGAGGAAAAACAGAGAGATTCAAAATCTCATAATTATGAAATTAGGGTTTCGCGATTGGAGTAACTGCAACACCAATAGTTGCAAAGTGGGAGAAATAATCTAAATCGATTTGAGGAAAGAAAGAGAAGCGAATCTGAAGAACGTGTAACGTAAAATGATTTCAAGAAGAAAAGAGAGATCGTTTCTGATGTTTTTTAAATGGTAAAGTATAGTGATGGCATTGTCGTAAATATAAGAAATATCTGAGGGTTACAATGTCTTCAAAACAGTGGAGCACAGTGACGCTGGGGGTTTTCCCAATTGTAAATAGTGTCAGTACTACTTTTCCAATTATGTTTGGAAAACGTACTATATTGCAACTTATTCCATGTTTTTACTACTTCGATCGGATCTGCTGATACATTAGAGTTTTGGTGGTAAACTAGTAATTTGTTACTTAAACGTTCCTGCTTTTGTAATCAGTGTGGTCCTAAACAGGCTTCAAAATCTTAACCAAAAAATATAGAATAACTAATGGGCCGATCCTTTCGCCATTCATAGGCCCATAGTCTTAGCTACATCATTTAGTTAAATAATATATTCATGTTTATTGCATTTAAGTTGAAAAAACATTTGTCAAATTTCGTTATGACTAATTGACTATTATTAATTAATGAAATTTTCAATTTTAAATCTGATATATTTCACTGGTTAGACAGTTTTAAAATATAGCATAATCTTTTTTTTTTTTTTACTTTTGCATTTTTAGGATATATCTTTCTTTTTTTATTCATAATTTATTTAATTTTCTTAGACATAAAATTAAATTCTTTGTATCTTGTATATACAATATATGTGTGTATTAAACCAATCCAAAAACGCGTTTACATATAATTCAAACTAGACTAAAATCTCTCACAATCACTAATATCTCTCACTTTCCTTAAACAAAAATCATTTTTCAAAACATTTCCTCATTTTAACAAAAAGTGCAACGTACTAGTTTTAAGAGGTGAAGAATCATTCTCTATGTTCAAAGTCTTTTCTACAACTTTTATGATTTTTCCGAAAGTGCAATGTACTAAAAATCAAACATTTGTAGGTCTCTCGAAGCGACACCATCAACCATATATATATATATATATATATATATATACCCATCCTCCATTCTTAAAGCATCTCACAACAAAATTTTATCTTCAAAATTTACGATCTCTTAGCTGACCAACAGATCGATCAACACAAAAGCTACTTACAATGGAAAATCAATGGAGTTCTGGTCTTTTCAGCTGCATGGAAGACGGCGAAAATGGTTAGAAATTCTATATGAAATTAATCAAGTGTCCTTTAATCTTTATACATATAAATATAGTTTCAGGATTGTATAATGATTTAATTTCTTCCTTTTGGTTTGCGTTGGATAAGCTTGCCTCACATGTTTCTGCCCGTGCGTCACTTTCGGACGGATCGCGAATATTGCCGATGAAGGAAGGTTCGGTAAGTCATATACATTCATATATGTCCTTTTAATTGTATTTGTATTTGTATACATATCTAAACATGCATGTGTGTATGTGAATTGATCATGTAACGTCGTATATGTAATGTAGGTTGTGGGAGTTGTGGGGTTTTTTACGGGCTGATATGTTTTGTGGTCGGCTTGCCTTGCTTGTTCTCATGTACTTACCGGACCAAGATCCGAAGCAAATTCGGGTTACCGGAGTCTCCAGCTTCAGATTGTCTCACTCACTGCTTTTGTGAATGTTGTGCTCTTTGCCAAGAATACCGTGAACTCAAAACCCGTGGTCTTGACCCCTCTCTTGGTAATTTACATTGTTTTGTGGACTCAATTTCTATTGAAATTCGTATCTTTCATACGTTGGTTAATTATTTGATTTTATTATTTTTATGTGATAGGATGGAATGGAAACATGCAACGGACGATGGCTCCTCCTATGAGTCAGCAGATGATGGGTTGATTAAAAAGATTTATGATTTGCTCCTTTTGCTATATGATTTAAATTAAATACAAGTGGTTCACGAAAACAGCACTTTTTAAGTGTAGTTTTTACATTGAGCACATTCGTCTAAATTATTTTCAGTTTCATCAATATTATTTATTTTGATAAATGAAAATAAAATGAGTTGGAAGATCGTAATTCTTTATATCCAAGAGGGCTTATTTTTCCCCTTATTAGATTAATTTGGTGTCTAGCTTTGGTACATAATAAGCTCTATCTAAAACGTCGACTATTTGCACAAGTCAAGGTCAATCAAGTTCTGACCAAGCAAATTAAACAAACCCATGTGTGCAGAAGTCATGTTTACCATTATCAATCATCATTGTATCAATAATTTTCAAAAGTTGGTTGCAGTTTTATTTTTGTTTACACATAATGCATAGAAAATATAAAGATACCACAAACTGGTCCACGACCAATAAAGATTTGTTTAATAAAGAAGCTAAAGTTACTAACATGTTTAATAAAGATTTGATTCAGTTGTGTTATATCAAAAAGTTTTTAGAGTTAAAGTTACTAACACACATCCACACATACAGTTACTGCAAATATGTGTAGATATGTGTCAGTAACTTAATTTAACTCTAAAACCTTTTTGATATAATTTACAACTGGAAATGGATCAAATCTTTATTTAACACATAATTCGTTTTTTAGTAGGGATCATCTGAGTCTGTATATTTGTATATACACTTTTCATTATTGCCATTGCTTATGATTAAATGTATTATACAATCCAACGTAATTTTGTTAAAATTTGATTATAAAAACGCAATTGACTGAATTTTATTTTTTCTTTTGTTTTTTTAAGAGTGCTGAGTGCTGACAGCCAAACTAGTCTGGAGAATAATTTTTCAAAGTGGTAATTACATATGAATTTAGTTAAATACAAGAGGGAAATAAATAACTATACGAAGAATAGGAGCCCACCATCACTTTACCTTATAGTTTATATAAACCTAACCATCATCTATAATGCTTTCACAAAATCAAACGATAAGAGATTTGTTACTAAAGGAAAAAGTCGAGCGAAAAATAAGAGAAGAAAACCAGCAGTTTTGTTCCCAAACTCTAGCCGGGTAACTACTATGGGTCGACCAGATGGCCAAACGAATCAAGCACAACCTCCGGCTAGCCCTAACAACAAGGTACATTCCCATAACGGTGCAACTGGTAAGCAGGCAAACATACCAACGGGCATACCGGTCAATTACCAACAAACACAAAATCGCTGGAGTTCTGAACTTTTCGATTGCATGAACGACAGTGAAAATGGTTAGATAACAAAATACTAAACATTCTACATTCTACGATTGGTTTCTCAAATTTTTTGTTGTTGTTGTTGTGCATTGGATATCAGCCATGATCACATTGGTAGCTCCATGCGTCACGTTCGGACAGATTGCGGAGATCGTTGACGAAGGCGCGACGCGTAAGTCATTCATACATATACTGATATACACAAACCTTTATAGAAAAACACACATAGATTGTCATTTGTGTAAACATATATATTTATATGTTTATATCACGCAGCTTGTGCGACGGCTGGGGTGTTGTACGGAGTGATACTTTTTTCCGGGGCATGTTTCGTGTATTCATACCTGTTCCGGGCCAAGATGCGAAACAAATACGGGTTACCGGATGCTCCAGCTCCCGATTGGATCACTCACTTAGTCTGTATGCAGTGTGCTCTTTGTCAAGAGTATCGTGAGCTCAAGCACCATGGATTTAACCCCATTCTTGGTAAATTTTATTGTTAAGCAGCCATTTTCTCATGAATTATCGTTCTTCATTTTATAATGTTTTGATGATTTTTATATAACCAATGCTGGTTTTTAAATATTACTACTAGTATTAAAGTATTAGTTTGGTGCAATAGGGTGGGCTGGGAATGTACAACAAGCACAGCAGCAAGAGATGATGACCCCTCCAACAAGTCAACGGATGATGGGTTGACTAATAACCTTTTGTTATTTTGTTGTTTTTCTCTTTTATATATTTTTCATGCCCGAAGATAATAAATGTAAGCAAGTAATTTCATGTTCGTGGATTAACAAAACATGAGTGTGAATTTCACTTAATTTCTTCCTGTTTCCGATATATGAATAAATTTCACAAGCTCTTAATCTACGTAATGATCAAATTATCATTAATTCTGCATAAGATTTTATTTTAATTCCAGAAAATTAACCTTTATTACAGTTACAGATTGAGTGCTGCAGTTCATATTGTTCAAAGTTAGATTATAAAATGTATTTCCAATGAATATGATGGATTACAATATAGCAGACGAAAAATTAAGTTTCAAACCGCTTGAGTATATGAGGAAAATGGTCCAATAAACATTTCTTAATTCTGATATAAGGTTTAAAAACTGCCTCTGATTTCTTTTTACCATTATTTACGAATTTAGTAGGGTTACTAGTTTACAGTTAACAGTTTAAACTATATAATCTCTCGCGCGTTTAAGTGAAACGCCGATGCAAAAACAAAAACCTTACATCCCAAAACACCCACGGATCTTCTGGCCAAGTCCGACTTTTTCGCTGGAGAATTCAACATCGGTCGTCGTCGTAACAATCTCCGGCTCCTTGAAATTCGCTTTCTGGCTCAACTCTTCGAACGCGTCGACCACGTTCTGCAACCGAGCAACGAACTCAATGAGGAGAGACGCGAACGTTGCGAGAGACAATGCACTTGCGCTTTCATAAGTTTTTGTCGTATCCACCAACGTTGGAGCTCCATTCGTTGTCTCCGGATGCGGCGGAAGCACAAGCCGTGCAGGCCATGACACCTGTTTTGAGAGAGTAGGTCTATGGTTCAACGGCTGACGATGATTCTTCTCGCCCCAGCTCGGCGGTATCTCTAGAACTGCCTCGCTTAGAGATTTGAAGGCGTAGATTGGAGGCGCGTGGTTTTCTGGTGGATCTGAATCTTCGAGGGAGAGCAGTTCTTGAGGCTCTGATTCCTTGGTGGCTCGGTTTCCGATCTCCCAACATTCGGAATTGACGAGAAGATAAGATTTCTTGTCGATCTTGTGCTGTAATTCTTCGGCAGCTAGGTGTACTTCAAAGAGAAGGTCGACTGGTCCTAGCTTCTCCATCTTCTTCACCTTTTCACCAAGCTCTCGCAACAATTTGGCTCCTTCTACGCCCACTCTCTGAAGTTCTTGCCGAAAAACTTGTCTCCGTTCCTCTGGTGCCTGTGAAATGTTCCCAGATTAAGCTCTAATCATGAACAGCTGATTTCTTTTTTAGTACCAGAAAAAAAGGAATTTTCATACAAGTCTGTCTACTATGTTACCTGGATTTCTGAGAGAATGCAGCCGTGCAATGCCATGACAGTGAATGCACAATGCTTGAGAGCGCCGCTGAGCTTGACATAGTTCTTCCATGGGTAGTTAAATGACTTGTATCTTCCATGTGGTGGCTCCCATATTGCGAAACTCATCTTTGCAATTACAACAGAGAAAACACAAACTAATTCAGAGATGAAAAACAATGGAATAATAAACAGACTTATTGAAGATGATTCCGCAATGACAAATACCAGAGACTCTTCTTGGCTGGTTGATTCAACTGCTGATCTGTAACCCTTGTAAACAGGATCCTCTGAGGCTTGGTATGTGAGGATTTTGGATGGGATTCTCTCGTATTCGACACAGCGGAGGTATCCGTTCACACAACCTGCAAGACCAACGAAAACACCAGTCAAGCATCTTCTTCCCGAGACTCGGAAAGCCCAAAACCTTTGTTTTACTTACTAACCTTCAAGGGAAGTCGCAACATTCATAAAATTCTTCACGACAAGGTTATGAAGATCCTCTCCAGCCCATATAGGATAAATAAACATATTGACACCTAAACTAACACCAGCACCAAGAGCTATAAGCAGAAACCGGGAAATAGCCACTTGTATGAACTGCCCAGTTCTGAACCCAGAAATCAGAATATAGCAATACGTAAGCAAGAAAACCCGGAACCCGTATTCATAAGCTTTCATCGACGGGTATAATTTCATGAAAGTTGCGAGAAACCCTGTCAGACGAAAACATATATAAGCAGAGAGAAAACCAAAATGATTGCTGTAAAAGAATTGAAGATGTAGTTAACATACCAATGCAGAAGATACTAAGAGTGCAGAAGAGCTCTTCCCAGTCACCGAATAGTGTCGAAAGCTCAGCCATTCCAAGAGCAAGACCTCCAGCTGATAATGTCCCAAGCGCTCGATTAAACCCTTTGCTTAGAGTTGCTCCTATTACAGCCAACAACAATCATCAACAATGTAAAGCTTCTATACACAATTACCATTTTAGCAATGTTAAGCACTGAGAAGTATAATTAAGCTCAATGATACAGTAATCGTCAATTCCCAGACAAACAAAAGCAAACACTTGCCTTTTATTTTAATTATTAAAGAAGAAAACGACGAATTCATTCTACAGATGAAAGCAACGACGCATACTCTTTCTATAACAAGTAAACAAAACCAAATCCAGAAAATTCCAATCGACTAATTCAATTTCCAATGAACCCCAAACTCGTGGAAAACTAAAACCACTGGGAAAAAATGTTACCGATCGTGAATTCGAAGACGACGACGACAGTAAGAATAGCCCAAACAGAGTATCGACTAAGATCCGGATTAGGTTCCTGATAAAAAATCAAAAGCGCAACAATCGTCAGAGCAAGACCAATCTTCGCGGAGAAGACGATCTTTCTCGGATCAGATACTCCCATATCCCAAGCTTTCCTCGCTACATCTTTAGCATCTTGGTACACTCCAGAGATTTTCTCTGATAGGTTACCACACGAACAACAGCAACAAAACCTTGTTCTTCCATAGTTTTCGTTTTCGAGAAGATCGTTCGATTCGATGTCGGTGAATCTGAAATCGGAGAAACCATTATTAGAAAGAAGCCTCTCGCGTTTCTCGAGTATTACATGCCTGAAGGAACCTTGCTTCGCCGCCATTACTAGACGCGGATTCTCAGAGAAAAAAGCTTTGTTTGAAAAAGAATAGTGAAGATATTTTTATTTTTTTGACTGACGAAACGAAACTGTAGTGGTGGTGGACCTTCTTTAGTAGGTGAATAAAGTGGTCTATTATGAAGCAAAATGACGACGTTTTAATTCCTTTTATATAATGACTTGTGTGGACAATATAAGTAGATTTCAATGTTACTTTAATTACGTTACGTCACATTAATAAGCTTCTTGTCGACATACCATTTGTTAATCTTATTACCATAATTAGTATTTTTTGTTTCTTTAACACATAGTTTAATTACATGCCAACACTTAAGCGTTGAAATTCAGACTCTTTTTTGACAATTCATAAAAAGCTACACAAAACAATCAACTTTATTAAAAAAAAAAAAAAAAAAAAAAAAAAAAAAAAAAAAAAACAATCAACTTTATTACTTTAAAATATGGAGATTCCGTGATTATTCATTACATTCCAACTTTTTCTTCATTTTCTTGATAAAAAATATATACATATTTTTATTTTTGAGATTAGGATGTAAAGTATAACATATGCCATTATTGGTAATGCAAAAAGCTAAGCAGAGGAAACAATTGTAATTTCCTTTAGTAGAAAATTTTTCAATTAAAAAATGCTTAAAGAAGAAACTTAATAAAAGTGCTGAAAAAGCCTGCAATGTGTGTGATCAATTAACAAGGATTATTCTAGTAACAGTGTGGACAAAATACAAGATGAGATTTGAGTGTTGTGTTTGATGATATGATCATAAACCTAATCCACAGGAATTTCAACGTCCATCTCCGGTCTACTACTCCCAAAGATCTGTGACAAAATTGGAGATACAAGAAAAGGAGTTAGAACATTACTGCAATTCTGATGATAACAATCACAATAAGTAAGAAAATGTACCTTTATGAAATCCTCTAGTGTTAAGAAAGAGTCACTCGTGTAGCCTGATTCCTTCAAAACCTGGCTCAGTACTTGCTACAACACCAAAGTAAAACACAAGACACATGGTCAAAACACTTGTCTACTGAATTTATACACTGATCATAACAATAAAGATTAAAGCAAAGATTGGATCCCAAATGATAAGAGTGGAGAATAGTCATGAGAAAAACAAATAAAGAACTCTACCATTTATCTCAAAGTTCGACTAATATGTCAAATGAGTAATGGAACAACAAAACAGTTAAAATGGAAACATTTTAGCTGAATAGAGTTTCAGCAGAACAATCATTACACGCTAACAAAGAAGGTTTTAGTAGATTAATGATGTTTCACTTTTTAGTTATAGTTGAACATAGTGTAGTCACTTTCCATAAACTTAAAAATTACCAACTTTCTAAACATCATACCTCTCTTTGCTCATCAGACATGAATGATCCGGATAAGTCACGCAACACTTCCATGATATCTTTAAAGGAGACCTTCCCGTTGCAGTCCGAATCATAGACTTTAAAGATCACTGGGAAACAAAGAAGTCTGATCATCATTCCATACAATAAAGAGAAAGTGAAGATTTTGCCACAAAATCGATTTTAAGGAAACTTATTAACTTACACTGAACTTTCTGTCTTAGACTAGCCTTGGCACTAAATGCAGACAAGAAAGCCACAAAATCCTTAAAGTTCAAACCATCAACCATCTTAAGCAGCCTCTGTTATTAATAATATCCAACAAACAATTCAAACAAACCTAATTCAATGTAACAAAGATTTCATAGATTTAAGATTAAGGAAATTGTCAAAAACCTGAGATAGTGGATTCATGGCAAACTCAGGTACAGAGAGAAACTCATCAGAAGATATAAATCCCTTTGCGTTTCGATCTAACTGGCAAAACCTTTGATACAGAGATAGAATCTCCTGCTGCTCAACTGAAGCAAACACACACAAAAGGATTAAAATTTTAAAACATATAGAAAAAGACAGAGAGAAGTTGTCGGAAAATCTCACATAGATCATGACAATGGCTCTGAACTTCTTCGATGTCGTATTGAGTCAGCATCGATGAAGTGTTTCCCATTTCACGCCTTCAAAATCTGATTCAAATATGGTTAATCATCACAACCCCAATTAATTATCGATCATGTTAGATTCATGAAATCCCTAACTCAAAATTAATGATTTTTGGGTGGAATTATTGCGGATAAAGGGTTGATTCGAGAAATATGAAACTGAATTCGATAACAAAACATGAATTTATCAACTTACTGGTGTAAAGCTTATCTCTTTCTTCTTCAACCCGCTTTTGATTTTCTTGGTCGCATGCGTTGATCTGATTCTTCCGTATCTCGGTCTAAAGTTTCGCCGGAGATCTGCCTTAACAAAACCAAAAGGCCTAAGAACCAATTATTTAAAGGCCCATAATATAAAACCAAGCCCAATAACACTTCACACAAGCTACGCGTGTCTGATATATCGCCATGGCTTAGAGCATGATTATAGGTAGTCTCTTAGAAATACTTCTTAGCAATATTTAAGTAATTTATTTGTAAAAGTTATTGTTAAGAGATAGTATTTTTGAGTTAAGATTTTTGTGTGATTAATGGTAGGCTCTTAACATGTGGTTCTTAGGAAAAAAAAATATTAATTTTAAAATAAAATTAAATTAACAATTTTAATTTTAGAAAACTTAATAATTATTGCAAATTTTTAAAACATATATGAGATACAATTTATAACATAAATAACATAAAGCACAATAGTTTTAAATTTGATTTCTGGAAAATTTTGTCCATATATGCTCGACATTAAAATTATGTGTTTTGATCAAATTTATGTGTTTTGGTTTTTGTGTTTTGAATTTGTGGAGAAAAGGAAGATATGGTTTTGGTTTTGTGGAGAAAAAAAAGATATGTTTTTGATTTTTGTGTTTTGGTTTTGTGGAGAAGAAGAAGATGTGGTTTTGGTTGATGTGTATTCAAGACTTGCCCTTTGTGAATAATATATATTGCACCGAATTGTATAATTCATCATATAGTCGTGCAACTAAGAAAAAGAATTTAACTCAATTGGTAGTGTAATTGTTTTTGACAAAAATATCAAGACTTTAACAACGGCCGGTGAGTCGGTTACTAGCCACTCCAGCCATCACAGACCACTCTAGCCAAGAATCTGTCTAGCTTCTGGTTCACTTATTATCAACCCTCTCTTAATATTCTGCGCTGCTTCATGCGCAACCCCGGTTTTTGATGCATCTGTAACCATTCCAAACAATGTTTATCAACAATTTTGCAAAGTAACTAACACAAAAAACGATTCTTTGATAGATTCATTCTTGCCAAGAAACAAAACAAGAACAGTTGGGAGTTCTCAAAAGCTATACTAGTAAGTAATAAAGAGACCTATCACATTAACTGGTATAAAAAATGCCGAGATGTTGAAAACACAAATTCTAAGATTCTACAATCCTAGTAAGAGGTGGATAATAAAAGTATAAAAAAACAGTTGATTTAAAGAAGAAGAAGAAGAAAAGAGTAGAAAGAATCTAGAAAGAGAGAAAAATGCTTACTTCTTGAACATGTTGGAAGTTTTATTGAAAATGATCACCAACTTCTAACTATGGTTTCTTCCCTGCAAGCGAACATTGGAAGTTGATTGATAACAGAGATTTTCGGAACATAACACAACAAACCAAAAACTGGACATCATATCGCACAAATTCAATAGGAAAAATACTGAAATTCCAAGACTATAAAAACCAAACGGAACATAGCAGGAACTCACAGACTGAGAGAGACCAGGTACGGTGTCAAAGAAGATTTCTGGCATAGAATGGGTTGGACGGAGGAGATACTAATCGGCCATTGAGATTTGAGATGTATTAGTGGAACCAAGAGAATGTTTCTCTCCAAAAATCCCCAACTGTTTTTCCGATCTACTGTCTCTCTTTTGTACCAAAAACGACAACTTGAATCACATCAATTCACACAATTAGATAGACATGCATACCTTCAAAAACCGATAAGACTCCGATTTCCGGTGAATCGAATCGAAACTCGGAGATCCGGTGAAGTTGTCCCCGATTTCGCAAGCCAACCTCGCCGATTTGGTGAATCGAAGACGCCGTGGACAACCGGAGTCGGTGGAACGACGGCCGGAGGTGCTTAACGTCGGAGACTCCTCCGATTTGAGTCGATTTCAAGGAAATCGTCTCTGGTTTCCATTTTCTCGGTGAAATCGCGAGAGAGAGAAAGAGAGAGAGAAACACGAAGAAGACTGAATAAAATATGGCAAAAAAATTTCTTTCTCTTGTTTTACTGACACCTGTCCACCTCTTAAGTCAATAAACGTTCCTTATCTAAGGAACGTTCCTTAACTATAACACCTATTTATCATTTAATTTTAAATCTCTAATTCTTAAGATTTAGCCTAAGAGGCTTCCGTTAGTGCCTTGTTCATCGTCTCTTTCGATTTTGATTGTGCTTCTGCAACCATTGATACTCTTGAAGCTCTGAGGCCGCCATGTTTTCGTCTCTCTCAGCTTCTTCTCCACTTTCTTCTTCATTGGTTTCTTCTTTCGTCGCCGTCAAAGCGACTCCGGTCACCGGACCTCTGATTCCCCGTCGCGATCTTCTTTCTGTTCGTATCAGAGCCAGCTCGAATCAGAATGGTTCCGGTTATTGTTTCCCAGAGAAGCTGAAATCTTTTGCCAAATCAGCGATTCTCATCGGCGCTGCTGTTTCAATGACCGGAAAGTTTTCAACTTTACCGGTGAAAGCGGAATCTCCGGTTACGACTACCGAAGAAACCTACCAGGAAGTGAAAGAAGAGAAACTGTCTGAGATCGCGCCATTATCTGAGCTTTTGGATTCCACTCCTGAGGCCGTCGAGACGCTAAGATCACTCCTGCAGCAGAAGCTAGAGAAGGGTGAGGATGAAGAAGCTCTTAAGCTATTAGAGAGACTAGTAACTGCACAACCAGATGAAACAGAGTGGAAGTTCTTAATGGCGAGACTGTTGGGCGAAATGGGTCGTCCGGAAAACGCACGCCAGATGTTCGAGGAAATTCTCCAACGAAACCCGCTTTCGTTCGAGGCTTTATTCGAGAATGCATTGCTCATGGACAGGTCCGGGGAAGGAGCTGCAGTGCTGCAGAGGCTGGAAGATGCTTTAGCTGTAGCCGAGGCTGAGTATTTGGTGAAGGAAGCGAGAGATGTGAGACTGATCATTGCGCAGATACATTTCTTGCAGAAGAATGTGGATGAAGCATTGAAGAGCTACGAGCAGCTGACGAAAGAGGATCCGAAGGATTTCAGACCGTATTTCTGCCGAGGTATGATCTATAGCTTGCTTGACAAGAACGTTGAAGCTAAGGAACAGTTTGCTAAGTACAGAGAGCTCTCTCCAAAGAAATTTGAAGTAGAAGGGTATTTGAGGACTCCATTGTCTAAAATGAAGCTTTTTGGTGGTAGTGAAGAGAACTAAGTTAGATTGATTATTGATAGCTCTGAATCATATCAGAAGAATAAGACACAGAAGACAAGATTGTTTTCTGAGAAATTATGCTGTGTTTTTGCTTTGTTGAATTGAACTTTGAAACACAAATCCATTTTTGGATTTTGTTTTGTTTATCATGTGATTCTTAATTTGATAATAAAGTAACATTAACTGGAAAGAAGAGAGAGCGAAAAAGGGACTTATTTGATAATCAGAAACGGATACTGTGGAGTGTAACAATACTCAAAGCTCAATTACATGAATCCATTGGTCCAAAGACCCACAAGTTTCTAAGAACAAGAGAAATTTGCACAGAGTTCGGAAGAAATCAGGGAGCCATTATCTTCTGAAAAGATCCATTTTATGTCCCATATCAAAAGCTCAGACATCTGCATCAAAAACAAGAAGAGCCTTTGAATCACCAAGCTCGTAATGGAAGTGAAACAAGCAGGGGGTTGTGCACAAGAACCAATAGTGTACACCAGTTTGAATTCCACGTTTGGCACCAGTTTGAATTCCACATAACAGTGGAGGTTTCACCTAAGCTTTAACACATGTACAACTTTCCACAAGTTTCATCCCTCAGATTATTGTAATACCTATTTTGCTAGGATTAACTTCTGCAACATACTCTAGGTTAACACAAGCATGGAGGCTCCTAAAGTCATATCGAAAATTAAGCTCCAAACAACCCAATGCTTCCAGTAACATAAACCCATAACCAGCTTCTTACCTTAGAGATCACTGAGGCACACAACATTATTCAGCTTCAACAGCCTCCGGTTTGGGACCTGCACAGTCAAATCAATATCAGACCAACAAATTCAACATGACAGAGTTTCATTCATCAATCAAACAAATGTACAAGCTCAGAGCCTTAGACTAATCTATATAAATACCAATCCAATATGAAGTCGATGATTTTGCTAATCAAGGCACTAATTCACCAAGAAATTAACCAGTGAGAACAAAAAAAAGCCCCAAAGGAATCGAATAAAACGCATCAGCAAAGCAACCACCATTAAACTCACCGTGGAGCGAAATAGGACGATGATCCTTTCCCCAACCGACGCCACGAGTGGAATCAAGATACTGCTGAACAAGATGACGACATTTCTGGTAGTGATTGACTCCTTCGACGCGGTAACACCATTTGACCTTCTCACGCAAGATCTTAGCCTTCTCGATTTGGATCCATTTCTCTCGAACGATGTGCTCTCTCATCTCAACCATCGCCACCGGATCCTTATATGGATTCGCCGGATCAAATCCATCCGGCGCCGACTCTTCGAACTCCGGTAATCCCTTCTTTCTTCCCATTGCTTCTTCTCCTTTCTTCTTCTTCACTCGTCGTCTTCGTGATTCTCTGAGTTTGGGACTTTTCTCTTCATGTTCACAAATAATATTGGGCCTATTCTTTAGGCCCACTATAAATGGGCATTAACGTACTCTGTGGCCTCTTTTAATAAGTGAGTGATATTCAAATTTTTAGTCATAGAAATAAATAAGTTTAGCAATTTATTAAGTTTTAATATTTTCAATATTAAACGTGTTATTTGGGAACTTGTTTTTCTTGTCTACGTCACTGTAAAAAAGACTAGTATATTTATTTACGTAGATAATGACAAAACATTTGGCCTCGCACACAAACTTTCAAGGATTACAGAAATCTACATTAGAAAAGAAAAAATCTAACGTGTAGACAAATTTGTAGATTATGTGGACTCCAATCTTACGATTTTAAATGAATTATAAGATGATATTTCCTGGTGTCACTTCAACTTCATTATCATATTTTTATTGTTAATGTTTATTAAGTTAGTGTAAATAATATACTAGTTGCAGGGTATGACTGATTCAACTAGCTATTATTTATTATTTATATTACACTGGTTCAAATAAAACTGATAATTTCATCCATTAATAACCGAAAGACTTGACAAATGAAACAAAAGAAAGTACATTTTATTGTTGGAATCTTGAAACTCATAAGTTATTCTACAAAAAAATTGTAATTATTCAATCTATATTGGTTTTTGGTAGGAAATAAAATCGTGATAAGTTTGTTTGATAAATAGGTCACCGTTAGTAATCTATATACTATACGCGTGTCATGATTTATAACCATCATAGATTAATATTGAATCACAACAAAGATATTTAGCGATAGATAGATTTATCAGTCATTATATATAAATTTCTTGATATTTGTAACCATGCATTTTATATAAAAATTTATAGCATTGTTTAGTAAACTGGCAAATATCTATTGGAGCATTCATATAAAATATATATTAACATGTAGTGTGATTCTAGAAAGCCAGAAGCCTAGAAACAAGGACGAGAAAAGTATGGAGATGAATTGGATTAATTGTGAAAATTTTCCAATGGTAGGATTGACAATCTAATTACATGTATGACGACCACGACCCAACATATCTATCTGTGTATCAAAAATCTCCCAATAACTCTGCCTACTACAAAATTTGAAAAATAACAATTATATTATAGTACTATTTTCATGTCTGTATAAAAATAACTCACACATTCCATTAGGTTGGTGAGATTTTTTAACCACTCTTCCAGAGTAATTATTTTAACCTTATAGGCGCTGTTCTATTCAACCAGAATATCCAATGTGAACAAGTTTGATCTTCTAGGATTGGTTAAAACTTTAAAACACAATCTTAAGGAAAACATATGATAGAAAAAACAAATTTCTCCGTGCTAACCATCCCATATTTTTGGTGTTTTCTCCACAAGTATTAGAGAAAAAGCTGTTTAAGGTAGACAATTATATTTACCCAAATAGAGTATGTAATTTTCGTTGATTTCTGTGATAGTTTGTGTGAAAGACAAATACATGATTTGGGTCATTTTATTTATCAACGTATCAAGAAATAATTGGGTCCACCAAATCAATATTTTGGTTCACACCCGATAATCGAGGAAACTTTTGCACGAAACATTTTAACGTAAAATATGAGCTATACAATTCGAGTTATGTATAAGAGTCGCAACGCAATCTGATGTCCGAAAACCCAATTCGAGCGTATAATTTATATAAACATATTTTCTTTTTGAACATTGCATGTGTTTATTTGTATGGATGTATATGGTAGTGAGATAAGCCCAAAAGACAAGTGTCAATAGAGTAAGATGGATGCAATGTGTCAATAGAGCAAGAGAGGGATATGATGCAATAATAAAACTCGAAGCATTTACTCTATAATCGCAGATATATAACAGTTATGATTTTGGACGACTAGACTAGATTTAGATTTGAATTTTTATATAATAATTATAAAAAGAAGAAGCTGAAATGACCATTGAGAAGCCATGCATGCATGTTCACATTACATTGGACATTAGGGCTTCATGGTGGGTAGAATTTGGTGAAGTTGGTTGGACAAATCCTCACATAAATCCATATTATGTTTCTATAATTATATTTATGCAGATATTAAGACGGACGTTATTTTTATAAACATAGTAATGTAATCTAAAAGGAACATTAATATATACGCCGACAAATATTTTATTACACACTACAGTTGATATATTAAGGTCATATAAATACACATATGTTTTATAATAATCAAAAAAAGGGTACGTATGCGTAGAGAAATACCTCTTGAATCGTCAAAATGTTAGCTGTAATTATCAACAGTTGAAAAAGACTACCCGTGGCCGCTTCTACCTCAAGATCGGTATTTGGTACACAAATCATTATTTATTTTAATATATAGTTTAGTTATATAAGTGAATATATAAACCCCATCTATGTCACATTAATTATTGAAAAGCTTTTAAGCAGTCAATCTCCTTCGTCCTCTTCAAGAGAGAGAGAGGAGAAACCCTTCTTTTTCTTTTGTTGTCTTTAATTTAGATTTGTAAAAAGACAACAAGAAATGGAAGAAAATCTTCCTCCGGGATTCAGATTTCATCCTACAGACGAGGAGCTCATAACTCATTATCTATGTCGGAAAGTCTCCGATATTGGATTCACCGGTAAAGCTGTCGTCGACGTTGATCTCAACAAGTGTGAACCTTGGGATTTGCCAGGTTATTATACTTTACTAATCTTTTTTTTTGAAAAAGTATACTTTACTAATCTTTATAACATATGTTTCTTGTATACAATTCGCCCGTGTTTATATCATGCATCTTCAAATATCTTGCATTGATTTGTTTAACAATAATAGTTTTGGGGATAAGAATATATGTGGGTATGCTTCCTGTTCTATAGTTTTTTTTGTCTAAGGATTTTCATATAATAATTTTAGAAAACATATAATATAATATTAAAATTTAAAATCAATCAATCATTTCTCCAGCAAATTGGATGAATTAATGGATTAGTCATATCATATACCATCACTAAAAGACATACGCTTATATATCAATATATAGATGAATACGTGCATCGTATACCACTTTATATAACTAATATAAATGAAACAATGGTTTGTTTCAGTAACCATACATTTCATTTCTCTAGGAAACTAAAAATTACGTTATATATAGGTGTATCTAGCCTACCAAACATGTGGAGAGTAGATATAATTTTCTAGCTAGTTATTTAATATTGTACTTGAATCATTTATATTACATTTATCCAAAGAATGGTTAGTATGTTCGTATATATACGTAGGTCATACCATAGTGATGTGATTACTGAAAGTAACATATGCTAATCAAAATAATGTGTACATATGCAGCCAAGGCTTCAATGGGAGAGAAAGAGTGGTACTTCTTCAGCCAACGGGATAGGAAATATCCAACCGGTTTAAGGACAAACCGGGCAACAGAAGCTGGTTACTGGAAAACCACTGGTAAAGATAAAGAGATATACCGCAGTGGAGTTTTGGTTGGGATGAAGAAAACCCTAGTTTTCTACAAAGGAAGAGCTCCCAAAGGTGAGAAAAGCAATTGGGTTATGCATGAGTACAGGCTTGAGAGCAAACAACCTTTCAACCCCACAAATAAGGTACATATTACATATACATTATTTATTTGTCAACTATTTTGAAGTTTGATATATGCACATTTTTAAACAAAATTACATAAAGAAACCAATATTAGTTAGCTCTCAAATTTCTAAAAACAAGACACATGATTCATTTTGGACTAAAAAATATGAATGAAACTACAATTTTGTTAAATTATTAGCTAGGGACCATGGGTTCTTACACTCTTGAGGCATACAAAAAAACCGGACTCGTATACCCTAATTTGTACCAGTAACCTACTTAAGAAATCAATTGTATATATAAAAAAAAACCTACTCAAGAATTCATATATTGCTGGTTTTAATCTTAATGTTTCCAAGAGTGGAAATTGTATAAACAAAAAATACATACATATGTACATTCATTTCAATCTAATCTATTATATGAATTCTCAGGAGGAATGGGTAGTGTGTAGGGTTTTCGAAAAGAGCACGGCAGCAAAAAAAGCACAAGAACAACAACCTCAATCTTCTCAACCATCTTTTGGATCTCCATGCGATGCAAACTCATCAATGGCAAATGAGTTTGAAGATATTGATGAGCTCCCCAATCTGAATTCAAACTCATCAACCATCGATTACAATAATCATATCCATCAATATTCGCAACGCAATGTTTACTCAGAAGACAACACTACAAGTACGGCTGGTCTCAACATGAACATGGCTAGTACTAATCTTCCGTCTTGGACAACAAGTCTACTTGGTCCGCCTTTATCTCCAATCAACTCTTTGTTGCTCAAGGCTTTCCAAATTAGGAACTCTTATAGTTTCCCAAAAGAGATGATCCCCAGTTTCAATCATTCTTCTCTTCAACAAGGAGTCTCCAATATGATCCAAAATGGTTCAAGTTCGTCTCAAGTGCAACCCCAACCGCAAGAGGAAGCGTTTAATATGGACTCCATATGGTGAAGGGATTCAAATCACGTATATTAGATTTGAATTACCCAACTTGTTCTTATGTAATCTCCATCAATTTTATCAATTGTACCATTTACACAAACATACATAGATCATTTATGGGATCAAGTAAATTAATTAGTGCATCTTATATCATATGTGAATGTAGGGAAAAGTCTTCCCATGCATACGTCCTTTTATGTTTATATATGATAGCTAAACATAGATGTCGAAGAAACGTCTTATAGCCTCTGTATTTTTCTATTTTATGTATATTTAACGTTGATGACTAGAAATCCATTTTTGTCCATCTTTTCTTGATTTCAAGTTTAATTAATTTAATTTTAAATTTATTTGTGAGACTTTAAATTTTCAGCTACGTTCCACTAATAAATTACAATTTGGCAAGACATTAAATATACTTAAAAATAAATTATTACTTAGGAAAATAAATGATAAATCTAAAAATAGTAAAGAAACTATCCTCACAACTCACAAGTCACAAAGTTAAATTTTCACATATACATATTTTTGCTAAGATATAAAAAATATATAAATGGGCCGTTACCAAGAGCAGATGTAGGGCAAAGGAGCCCAAAAGATGCAAATAAATATCATCAGCTCTCATTGATTTGGACATTTTTGGTTTCCATTTGGTTTACAGAGAGGACTAATGCATGGGTTGGTGAAGCACTAAAATTCTTTAGTCGATTTGAAACTTTGCAATCACAGTTTAGGGCTATGAATAGGGATGTTAATGATGGGTTTAAGCCCACTGGATACCCGACATATTCATAGCCTATGAATATGTCGCATGCCAACTTCACACTGATGTCTTTCATGTCTCTACATCACACAATGACTTCATATTTTGGATTTTAGCCAATCTTCAAAGGATCATGAAATCACTATACCAACCGACCAAAGTAATATGCATTGGTTAACTAATGTTCACCAGAATGTAGTTGTTCAGATCACAATTGCTGCCAGAACTTAAGCAAAGGTAGTAGAACTAATTTACACTTTGTTGCATGTTATTAATATTTTTAAAATAATGATACATTGGCAAAACTTACAATGTATTTAAACTATAGATGCTTATTTTTTTCTCCCCTGACATACACAGACAGGTTCTGCTTTCTGAGCTCGTAAATTTTGTGATCTCTGCGACAGGAGACTTAAACATTACCCACATTGATGATGAATCATCACTTGCTTTTCTTTTCCCACCACTGCACGGACAGAATCAGAACCATTTCTCTGCATCATTGTCAGCTTTAACCTCCTGAGATAGGACAATCTCTGTGTTCAAAACTTTATCAGCTTAGCGCGATGAAATGTCAGCTTCGTCGATATTAGAAATTGCAGATTCGCCATCAGTTTCATCCCAATCACTCTCATTATCTTCCAAATCATCTTTCCCCTCATCATCATCATCATCCTCCTCATCGTTTTCCCATTCTGATTCACTGTATGACGGGTTTTTCGAAGTCTACAAAACCACCAGGTAAGTGAGTCACAGCAGGACATGCATGCTTTATGAAAGCAAATGGAACTTAATAGTCTCAAAAGATCAATTTTATTGGACTAATAGCATCCCCAGTTGAGGAAAAGACCACTTACGAGTTCGCTTTGCATTTGCCCTATTGTTCTCTCCAGTTCAGAAATATGCTGACTAAGTGCCTGCAATTATTGTCAAAAATAAGTTTCAATAAGCACCCTTAAATCAACTTGTGAATATTAAATGCGATTCGTGTAGAATACTTCAGGAATTTCGAACCTCGTGGCGTTGCATTGCAATGGAACGTTTCAATGCTTTTGCTTTTGTCAGAAGATTTCTTGGTCTCAGGCTAATGGGTCTCCTGTAATTCTTCCCACGGTAATAAATAAGCGCAAATCCTTTAGGAACCTTTTCAATTGCAACAAGAACTCCACCACTCTCGTATTCTAGTAACCGGGCTGTGTCCTCAACAAATGCTAGGTTCTTCTGTTTTGATATAAGCTTCACCAATTCTCTGTGCTTCCAATGCAGATGCATGTTCTCAATGACTCCATCAAAAACACCACGGATACCTGTTAGGTCCACGACAAAAAACAGTTAATTCATATAACAAGAAGACATCTGTTAAGTTCTATCACAACCTATCAATCACTGCAGGCAGCCATACAGGAAACAGCCCCAATGCTTAAGAGACCAGGACGCACCTAAGGGTAAGTATGCCTTCATTTTTAATCCCACTTTCCGGAACATAGCTCTTTCTTCCTCGGAGATGACCTCTTGATCATAATCAGGTCCATTTGGAATCATAGAGGCTTCTATTTTGGACAACAGTTTCTCTGCTCTTTGAAACTTCGATTGGGCCTGTTACAAACCAAGGGAGACGTTATACAGTAAACTTAATATGACAGTTGCCACCAGACATCTCACAGTAAACTTCAAGTTGCAAATTAACAAACAAAAAACAAAAGGTCTACTTACAAGGTTTAGTTTGTGCTGGATTCGTTTAACAACTCTAGAGTTCGCAACCCTTGAAGCTTCTTCAATCATCTTTTCACGATGGTCCGGAGTTATTTCCTTCCCCCATCGGGCTTGAGCCTCATAAAACTCGGCCAGAGTGCCAGCTTCTGCTGGTACTTTGTCACCAACAGGCTGAACAGCCTCAATCTCGCGATTTCTTACCCTCTCTTCGACATCTTGAATCTCTTTTGTTAATTCTTGTCTTTCAGCCAAAGTAGCTGCCACACTTGAAGGAAGGAAGTCCTTCCCACGATATATTACAATGTAATACTTGTTTCTGAGCAGCAAGACACCCCCTGTCAATGCCTATAGCAACAAGACAGATAAATGAAAGAACTTAGCCTTCCTATGTGAAAAATTTCTGTTATATAAGCGATGGCCACTCAGATCCTCAAGAGCTTGCCAGAGATAATAAAGGTCACACTATGGTACAAATGCAAGGGTCCTATATGTCCTTAGTGTCCTTACTTCATTTAGTTTGGATATTAACACCAACGCTCAATGCATACCCGGTATAGAATAGAGAAACATTAGGAAAGCAGGTAAACAAAACCCTTCTTAAAACTTTTAGATCTCGATATAACCACCAGTTGTCAGGTCTCTCTAACTTCTAGAAGTCCCCAATATAAATCATTAGATTTAAATATGTACATTTTCCTAAACATCATCCATAATATTGGGCTCAGGGAATGACAGAAACTTTTCTGCTATGCGCTATCAATTTGTGGACTGTCTTAGTAATTACTTTTCCCTAACATTGAACTTTAGAGAAAAAAGATAAGAGAGACCTTCACTTCTTCCGCCATTAGTTTGTTATTTGTATTCTGGATACCTCGCTTCACAGCGATCTTTGCAATTAGACTTTTCTCCCAGATCTGGAGTATTGCAGCTGCCAATCCTTGGTGATTTCTGTTCCTGCCTATAAAGTGAAGATTCAAGCCTAAACATCGGCACACAAAACAGAAGAACCATCTGGAAAAAATCATCTAGGATCAGAAAGCATCTTACCAAGAGCAAAATGGCATGGGAGAGTTTTACCAATCTTCCTGAGATTTGTCATTTCGGCATTGGTCAAATTTGATCTCATCCCAGTAGGAAGAAGCCTGAAAGGTGTTTTATAACCAGGAATTGTAGGAGGTAGTAAGTCAGCGTCCACAGGTAGCACCCCAGTACCCCACCACTCTTGAAAACGTGGACCTAAGCTGTCTAATAGACTGTTAAATTCAGCTTCTTCTTCTGTCATATTCTCTTTACGAATAGGGTTCTTGATGATGGGATCTTTGATTTCCAAAGGTGGACTTTGGTTATCTTTGGCATTTGTTGCTTCATCGCCAGCAGAAGATACATCTGGGACAAAAAGAGTCTCTTTAGGTCCAGCCATTTGATTAGAGATCACAGGAGGTCCTTTATAGTCAAGTCCACGATAAACCACCATTACACTTCCGGCCCTCCATATCACCATTCCTCCAGTTCGTCGCTGCCCATAAGAGTAAATCCAATCAGTTTCTATTAAACCTAAAGTTTAGACATGCACATGCGTCTCCTGCACAGTCTTGTTACTCAAAGAATTCTAACAGCCACAGCTCCATCCACTCTAGTTATTCCATACCTCAAATTCACAACTGTATATTACCCTTCCCAAGAGAGATCCAATGTCTTTCACTGAGTTTATACTGTTCTAATAAAAGCTTTAGAACCATTCTATTACAGAGCTAAACTGAGCTTAGGTATTTCAGAGTCTCCAATTAAAATCCTATAAAGATCATGTCACTTCCGCAAAGCTTATCCCCAATAGATAATGAAAACCTATGCACCTCAAATTCAGCTAACCTCCTAAAAACCTCTGCTACTGTTCTAATCAATGAAGTATTCAAGAGAAGTAACTAACCTCAACAATCTCATGGGCCGTCTTCATGTCACGAGCAAGCACTTCATGGAACTTTAGCCTCACAAGTTCTTCTTTCCTCCAAGTATCATAAATCTTCTCCATCACTGCCTGCGTTAGCCCAGCTTTCGGTATATTGATCCTTAACCTCAGATACATTCCATCCCTCCTCAACCGCCGTAACTCAGAATCCTCAACGGTAAGCTCCGCCAGTGATGGAGCTCTAGCTCTCCTTTTCTTCATCACCGCCACTCCTCCTTCTCCTTCTACTCTCTCCGCCGCCTGTTCTTCCTCATTCTTCTCCCATGGCAATAACACCTCATCCTCTTCCTCACTCTCTTCTCCCTCAGCAAGCATCATATCAGGTCTCACCCACTCTCTCTTCAACAAATCCCCCAATCTCTCTTCTCCAGTCACCGGCTTCACATCTCCGCCATTAATTCCACCTCCCTCGTCATCTTCCACATTGTCCTCATCATCCGAACCTAATCCTAAATTCCGTAGCCGAAGAACAATCCTCTCTATCGCGTTTTGTCCTTTATCCCGCTCCAAATACCGAAGTTTCGCTTCCGCTTCCTCCTCCGCCGACCGAATTTTATCTCCGCCGTTGTTTTCACCACCTTTCTTCCCAGCATGATCACCGCCAGCTCCGGCGGATGAAGGAGGCCACTTATCAATCCAAGGAGGAGTAGGTTTATGATTCCGCTGATCCACTCGACGATTGTTATTGCTCCTGTTGTTGCTACGCTCGCTTGTACGGAGAGAAGAGAATGGCCGAACAATTTGATGACGCGAGGGTTTCGCAGCTAACGAATAGAATAACAATGCGTGAAGCGAAGGAGACGAACAGTAGCGAGAGCTAGAGGACAGAGGAAGAGAGCTTCTCAGTGGCATTTCCGTAAAATTAAGCGGAACCAAAGCCATTGACACTAAGAAAATTTTCTTCAGCGAAGTATCTTGTTCGCCATCGTTTTGGATACTGAGAAAAAAAAAATCAGGCGGATAAGCTGGGTATTACTCGACCATATGGATAAGATTTTTTTTTGGTTTTAAATATTGGGCCTTTTAAATGGGCTTTAAAAGCCCATTAGTAGATGTTAAGTTAAAAATAAAATTACATAGGTGAAAAAGTTATATAAGCGACGGAGTCGGGTCTGAGTAAAACCGGTTTCGTTGTCGTTGGGTCACCGGCCGTACTAGAGAGATTCACCGTGAATTCGAAAATTAAGTGAGAGAAGCACCGATTTGATTCCAGTTTCTGCCGCCAATTTTTGTTGTTTTCGCGTTTTCTTCGGTGAGACGAAGGAGATACCATGGGTCGACCTCCCAGTAATGGCGGTCCGGCGTTTCGATTTATCCTGCCCGAGGTTTATCTCGATCCTTTGTAATGTGTTGCTTTTTGAGCTTCTCGAGCTGAAAAATCTGATTTTTGGGACTGTTTTGCTTATTTAGATTTGGGTCTACTTTTTGGGTTCATGATAGGGTTTAGATCCTGAAGACCAATTCTATTTTTACAATTAGCTAGTAGAAACTGCTTTGTTGTTTGAGCAATTTGCGTTAATCGTTACGCGAGACTTGAAGGCAATTCGATGTATGTTCTGAAACTCATTGGCTTTACTTTGTTAAAGAATGTGTTAAGAGATTAGATTTGGTATTCATAAGTGTTTCCATCTATTTTATGGTTTTGTGACTTCTTTGAAGATGTTTTATCTTGTTTTCTTTGGCTAATCTTCAATTGTTATTAGGTAACGGAGATGGAAGCAATTTTGCTACAGCATAATACAGCAATGCCAGGTCGACATATTCTTGAAGCTCTTGCTGATAAGTTTAGGTATTTACTTGTTGTTGCTCAATTTCTTGGTTTGAAAGTGCTTTTGTGTCTTTATTATGTAAAATGTGGTTACATGTGTTATCTGTTGTCTCAGTGAATCACCTGAGCGGAAGGGGAAAATTGTTGTGCAATTCAAGCAAGTACTGGTTTTTCCTTCTTGATACTTGAATTTTTCTAGACAGAGTCTGTTGGAATTGCTTTTTACATTAATGGGAATGTTGTTATAATGCATCACAGATCTGGAACTGGTTCCAAAATAGGCGATATGCTTTAAGAGCAAGGGGAAATAAAGCTCCTGGGAAGCTAAATGTATCTTCCATGCCGCGTATGGATTTACCAAATCAGATGAGAAATGTGGTTCAACCGTTAGCCGTTCCTAAAACCACTCATATGACTGGAAATTTACCCGGCATGACGCCTGCCCCTTCCGGTATTTTAGGTGCCTTATTTATTCTACTCCCAGTAAAATAGGTTGAGAAGCTTATTTGAATGAATAGGTTTCATTGGATTTTGTCAGTTTTATTTTCTTATTCATAAGCTTAGATCAGTATGGCGTATATTGCATAGATGTCACTTTCGTAACTGTTTACTGTTTTTTTTCTCATAGTTCCCGGTGTCATGAGGAGTGGTTCAGACAACTCTTACTTGGAATTTGAAGCCAAATCTGCCAGGGATGGTGCTTGGTGATTCCCTTGCATTGAATCTTCAGTATTTTTGGCTGACCTATGATACTTTTCAACAATATCATTACATTCCACTGTTTTTCTCTGATATTTAACTCTCTTGCTGACGTACAGGTATGATGTGCAAGCTTTCCTAGCTCATAGAAACTTGGAGATTGGTGATCCGGTAATTCCTAACCACTTTCTTGTTGACTTCTTTGCTCCCCTTCTTCGTTTTGCTATCAACAAATCTTTCTGTTGGGTATTTCAGGAAGTGCAGGTTCGATTTGCGGGTTTTGAAGTTGAAGAAGATGAATGGATAAATGTCAAAAAGCACGTAAGACAAAGGTCTCTCCCATGTGAAGCATCAGAATGTGTTGCAGTTCTTGCTGGAGATCTCGTACTTTGTTTCCAGGTCTAGAACTTCGTTCTCTAAGCATTTAGTGATAGGTGTCATGTAAGTTTATCCCTGACTGGATTTTTGTTATAACATCTTCAGGAAGGAAAAGATCAAGCTCTTTACTTTGATGCCATTGTTCTTGACGCACAAAGAAGAAGACATGATGTCAGAGGTTGTCGTTGTAGATTCTTGGTGCGTTACAGCCACGACCAGTCTGAGGTTGGACGATCATCTCTCTCCATACTCTTACCGTTTTATTTACCCGTCAGCTCCATTTGGTTTCATGGTTTAGACCCTAAAGCAAAACCCTCCTCACTCACCTATTTTGGATTTCTTTTCCGTTATCCCAGCAGGAAATTGTTCCTTTGAGGAAGATTTGTCGGCGGCCCGAGACAGATTACAGGCTACAACAACTTCACAACGCTGTAAACGATTTGGGTAACTCGAATCAGCATCAGATACCCGCTCTAGATGCGGCTGCGAAAACCCCTGTTTCACAATCCGGAGCTACAGTTCCCATTGTTGCACCCGAGCCAAAAGATCCGAGCCTGAGTGCCACTCCAGTCACTTTGGTTCAGCCTAGCTCCAGTGCAGCCACTGTCCCCGCTGGTTCTGCCTAGGCCATGTAATTTCTATCCCCTTTTGTAACCACCATTTTCACAGTTACTAATAGAGCTTTAGAGGTTAACTTGGGATCATATGCATTTGTAATCTCACACTGTGACTTAGTTATCTAAAGCTGTATCATGCCATGTTACTTGATCGTCATGTATGATGGAATAATTATGGTTTAGTCCGGTTTATTCATCATCTGTTGATGGTCACCGGTTTACTCTTTTGAACAAACATGCTCGAATCATGTTGATTTATTCTCAAGACTAAAGTTTACAAGTTAAGAATCTTAAATGTGTACCTCGAGTCATTTAGATTTGCAACTTTAGTGGGAATGAGAAATTATTAATGTGAAAAATATCTTACTGTGATGAACAGATTACATAACAGGAGAATAAACCATTTTGCTTATGTAGTTTTCTGTAAATGATTGATCAGACTAGACACACAACAGTTTTACAAACAATTACAACTGTTTTTATTGTTACTGAATTGTTGTTATAAAATGAAACTTACAGATTGATTTCTAACTTTGTAACAAGGGCTCAACTCTCTCTGAACATTTTATCCAATGCCCTACATATCTATCTATATACATCATAGATGATTGTTTGATCGGAAAACAAGTGGCTACATTGGTGCGGGTAATCTCCGGCTATAGGAGGATCCTGTCCCCGAACCCGACCCTGACCGAGATGGGGAATGAGATGGGGCTTGAACTGGGGACGAGTTAAGAATCTCCTTACCAAGGTCTTTGATCTTGTTGATAAGCAGCATTTGCTCTGTCTGAAGCTGGACCAAATACTCTTCTTGTTCGACCTCCAAACTCTCCAGCTCTTCTAAAGCTTCAGAAAGACCTTCAAGATCTCCATCGTCAATCAAATTCTGAAACTTTATCATCACCTGCTTCATCTGGTTGGACAGCAACAGAGCTTTGTTAAACGGGGAGCCAGAACCCGCGCTGGGGCGTCTCTGAATCTCCGTGACTTTCCTCGTGACTCTGACATGGACCTCGCCGCATGTCACTCCTTGGAGAGGTATCCACTTATCGGCAGTCTCATTTGGCTTTAACCCTTGGTACTCCACGACGCAGTTACCGATGCTTGAAGTCGGAAGCAGAGTGTTATGGTCTTTCACATGTAGCTCCAAGGAGCTCCCATCATCTGGAAACTCCATTGTCTGGTTCCATTTTGGTTGCAGTGTCTTATAAATCACCTGAAAACAACAAGCACACAAGAAAAACAACATCTGTAAGTTTTGTTTCTTTATGTCTTTATGAAGTCTTTTTGGTCCAAGACAATCACCTTTGTCCTCTGTTTCTTCTCTCCATATTGAACCCTAACATAAGGATCACTGGTTCCTCTAAGATCCGCGGCCACAAGATCCCGCGCTTCAACGAGAACCAATTCAATCATGCCTTTACTAGCATCCGCCTGCGATTAAGCCGGATAAAAAAAACTAAAAACATCAATGAGGAAAAACAAAGAAACAGAGTGATGTTTGTTTTCCTCAAAACACTTACTTCGCTGTACTCGGGATCCATAGCTTCGATCAAAAGCTCTATTTCTCCAGAATTAACCTCTTCAAGCGGAACCCATATATGCATTTCGCTGTTATTGATTCCTTGAAGACTCAATGTAGCTGTACCGATGTTGTCCGTGCCAAGCATCTCTTCTCTGTAGCATTTCACCTTTAAATATTCTTCCCCAGCTAACTCTTCGAACTCAAATTTCTGGTTCCAGGCACAATCTGCTGCGTTCACTATCTTCGTCTTTTGTATAATCTACAAAACCATTCAAGAACATGCCAATCTCTTAAGATTTTAAGATCGTGCAATGGCCATTTTGAAGCAAAATCATGAAGAGATTACTTACTTTCCCGTACTGCAACTTGACGGATGCATCACATTTTCCGGACTTGTCTTTAGAAACAAGGTTTTTTCCAGACAAAACCGTCACAATAATTTTCCGGCCGGTTTTCGAGAGGAGGGCAGACGAGCTGTCGAGGGAGTGTAATGAACTCGAATTAACGCTATTCAAGCTATGTGAGCCATCAGAGAAATGCCATTCTTTTAGAAGTAGCCTGACCGTCAACTAAAAACCAAAAAAAGAAAGAAAGTGGTCAAAATCATAAAAGAGTAAGGGAGAGTAATAATACATAAGAATAAATTGTATTATCTACCTCGCCGGAGCTAACTCCTTCAAACGGAACAACCATCTCGATTTCTTGACCACAGAACTCAGCGTGTTTCGCAATCACACTGTTATCAGATCCAACGGCCCAAAACATCGTTGAATCATCACCAACGTATTTCATCTGTACATAGAAAAAGATGAAGAACATGTAACGGCCAGTAACAGCAACTACTTAACTGCTTTATTATTCATTAGTTTACCTTAACTTCGCAGCTAGCGAG